AGGGACAGGAGTGGGCAATACTTCTGCAAGTTGTTCCCCTTCCTGAAGCCCAGCCAGTGGCAGGTGAGCCTCTACCAGCAGCAAAGCTACAGCCAAAGACTCCTCCCCAGTACCCCCATCAGCTCCACACATATTTCATGCCACCAAATACAGCTGGACAGGCAAAAACAAAGTGTCGGCGACTCCAACCATCAGCCACCTTCATTCAGCCATCATCATCCCACCTTCAGGCTCATGCTTTCCAAATCAGTCCTGGTCATTCCTTTCAGCCTTTAGCTTCTTCCTCTCAAGAGGGTACAAAGGAGAAGTTCAGGGTTATTTACCCCAAGCCATTGACAGCAATGCTCTCCTGTCCCATTCCTGTACCCAGTGACATCAGTCCTCTTGGTACTGTCTTTTCACTAAGTCCAACCTCTGCTGTCATTCCACCTGCCACTGAAAGCATCAGTAGTGACACGACTAGACCCGCAAAACGAAAGTACAATCGAAGTGTCACATTTAACACTTGCAGGAAATGTGGCCAGTTTCGCATGAAAGCAGCGGGTCATAGTCAATATAAGGTAAAAATATACTGCCCCAAATCAGAAAGTATAAGCAAAGAACAATGGTTGGCCAAGATGAAAAATAATTAGATGCTCTCTGATTGCTGCCTCATGGTCAATTTTATTTTCTTTATTTTATTACTTATTATATTTTTATTTTATTTTATTTTTATTTATATGTAATTGTAGCTGAAAGCTTATTCTTAACCCTGGATACAGCACTCAGCAAAATTATCAACACAAGTCAGTCATGTGCTTTGAAAAGTTTGATCAGGTCACATCATTTTATCAACAAGCTTCTTGATTGCCATAGAACTGCAGCTGTTCAAATTTCAGCTTATTCTATAGTTTATATTTGAGTTACCACTTACTTGAAAGTTAATTCTTGTTCTTTCCTGGTGTTCTAATCATTTTCTTTGTGCATATAAACTGGGACCTTACTGTTACATTTTTACTTGCTTTTATACATTTCCTTTTTATACCATACCTTTTTCTGTTTCAAGAGGAATATTATTAGTAGCTGTTTCACAAATGTATCATATACAATTAAGATCTGTGACATTGTTTTATTATGTTTCATTGTTGAATAAATCTATTCTGAGTAAACTGGTGTCTTGTCTTTTATGTTAACCTAGTAACAGTATAGTGCAAAATAATAATCAAAGCTTCTGGCATGATTCTGCAAAAATCAGTTTTTACTGTCATAAATATCTTTAAAACAGGGCAGGGAATTATATTTAATGCTCCACAATATCTTCACAGCACTTTATAAAAAACGATGCCGAGTTTTACTTTAACCAGCGCTGGATTCGAACCTGCGATCCTGTGAATTCCTCTCTCTTCTCTTCCCCATTTTCTCCCCTTTTCCTCTTCTTCCCCACCTTATACAGACTATTGTTCCCCAGCTTGAACACCGGAAGAGTTCAGTATGACTATTTGTCTGTGTTTCATTAGCAGCTCCATGTATCAGTATTAACCTAGCTCTTATGCATGCATCATAGTCTTAATATTCAGCTTTGAGTCAACTAGTAGTATTTCTTGTCTTCTTGGTGAAATGTGCATAAATTGATTGCAGAGATAAGATGCTAACTGCATGTCTACTTTCAGTTAGAAAAAACACCTGAAAATAACAACACACACACTGCTTATTCGAACATTCTAGAATATTTGCATGAACCTTGTATGAACTTTTTGTCCAGTTCATGTTGTGAGTGTAGAGGCAACAGATTAGAAGATAATGAGTTCCACCCATGTTCAGGGCAGTCCCAGCCCGAGAAGATAAATGTGAATTACTTCCTATTATCAGGGCTCTTGGGACTTGTCATCTCACAGAGCCCAGCGCTGTAATAATTCTGCATTTAACCAGAAGAAAATAAATCTACGTAAAGCTGATTATTGTTTCCTGAGTGTTACTTCTTGGGGCCTTCAGATAAAAGAACCGGGTGAATCTAAAAATTGGTATGGACAGGATCTGGACTAGGGTCAGTTGCTGCTGCGGATTTCCATCTGTGCAGCCAGTGTTGATCAAAACAAACCACTGGTCTCAGCTTTGGCACACACCAGTTACACGGTTTTAGAATTTACACGGTACCGCAAAAATATATTTACATCTGCATTTTAACACCTCCATAAACCGATTAGATTTTGGCAGTCAGAGGTCAGTGACCTCTCATCCTCCCATCTCCCATTCCCGTGACTTTGGTCTGGGAAGGCATACAACCAGGAAGCTGTATTTCTAGTTAATTCACAATAATACTTAAATCTGTTTTACTCATACAAAGAGAAAATAAATGTCATGTTCTCTTAAGTTGCTGGAACATTACCTCAAAATCTGTTTGTTCTTGTTCAGGCCCAAAGACTAAAGAAGAAAAGCTGAACAATGAGGTTTAAAACATCTGTCGGCTATGACTTGGGACAAAATGAGCTGAAACTGACTCGAGAAACAGTTTTTAATCTTTTTTGTCCCACTCATAGAAACACAAAACAGAATCAAACAAGCAGAGTTTGAAGAGACACTGATCAAAAATCAGCTGCAGATCACTCAGATGGACAAACTGTGGACCTTCATCATCTTCATCTTCCTTCTCCTCCGTCTGTCAAACGCTAACTGGTTCCTGCTGGTTGTGCTGGCGTTTGACCACAAACACTTTCTGACCAGAAACTGTCACTGTGTAAACAAACTCCTCCAGAATCACTGAGGACAGAATGACATGACCACAGGTGAGTCCAGGTGAGAGGGTCCCCACCTGTTCATAGGGTTAGCTGCAGGCGCTGTGTTACCTGACATGCGTTTAAAGGACGGCTCCGCTGACCCAGGTAACCTGAAGCGACTCGCCGTTCGAACCATCTGCATCATCACACCTGCTGTGTGTTCATCATTCTCCAGCTCACCTGCAGACTGAACAGGTGGAGATATCACAGGTCAGGTCTGTCTCTGGATGTCTGACTGGACACACTATAGGCCAAAATTCCTTGAATATAACATTTTCTTAATAATTCCAGTGTCATAACAGGTGAATTTACCTTGTTTAAAAAATAACTGAGACAAACCCAAAACTCCATTCAAAAATTAAGCAGTTTAAGTTATTCATTCCTCACTTAAAGTTGCATTAACGAGCTTCTCTCTCAACCAATAAGGGCAAAGTGAGAGTCGACTCCAGCAGCGTCCCCTCCTCTTCTCCCTCCCATCCTCTTCTCCCCTCCTGCACCGTCTCTGAAACTACGTCATATGTGGTCACGACGGCTGGAGACAGTTGTGACAGTCAGGTAGCGCAGCAGTAGTGACCAGCTCCAGAGCTAATGCATAGAGACCATAGGGCTCATAGGGCCCATACAGACCATAGGGTCCATAAGGCCCGTGGCTGTCAGCAGCGTTGCAGTCACACATTGTCAAATAAAGAGGTTTACATTTTAGCAACATGCATACATATGTCTAACGTTGTTTGGAGCAGATGCATCTGCAGTAACACAAGCAGAGGAATGTTTTCCAGTAATACTTATACAGTACTAATGTTCAGGCCACTATCGCATCATGTTAAGTGTTACATACGTGATACACATAAAGTTATAAGGTCACCGGGAGTTGTACGTGAAACAAGAGAAATTTCATGTTACGCTGTGATAGTTGAACAAACTCACACTTTTCTAGTTGTGTTGATGGTGTAAATTTTAACAGCTTCTCACTAAAATGCTACACGGACTGCAGCGTTATGTTTGACATAAATTGGACCAAGACCGAGCAAAGATTAGCTAAATAACTTCCTTTGCTGATCCAGGAAAACGTGCTGGTTTGGACAACAAAACACTAACGCTGCAGTCAGTTGGAATGACTCCGAATTACAACCAGATTCAAAACAGAGGTACAAAACTGAAAAGTTTTACATATACACGTTAGCCAGCTGCTGTACTTAGCATGTAGTAGAAAGAAAGCCCCATCCGGTCAAATGTTAGTCCTGTGGATGCTTTTAGTGCTTTCCATCTCCGAAAGGCCAAACTGATGTTAACCTTGGTTTGGCCTCGTTCTTTGTCGCCCTCTGTCTATGCTATAGAACGCAGCTTCTTTGGTCTAACAGGTCCACTCCCATCCTGGGTTGGCCCTGCACAGGGAGTCGCCACGATTCGTCTTTGAAATGAGTCGTACTGCTTTGAAAAATGCTTCTTATAACCTTGGATCAGTGGAAGGTGGAAGAAGTATGGTGTGGATTTTAACAACAGGGCCACAGAGGGAAAG